AACCTCAACCATTGTGTGTGTTAGTGTGTTTGACAAGGTCCTAAATCGCCTCCATGACAAGTTAGAGCTCTTGAGTGTGGAGCCTAAATCAATGATTGCAACAAACATAAATATCAAATATGTTGGTAAAACGTCTACTTTGTTTATGTTATTTTTGTAGAAAAAGTACCAAATTTCATGTTATTCTATTGTGTTAATACATGCCGTTTATTCTTAATGTGGCAACAGGGACACACTTCTACTTTGACAATGAAAGCCTTGCCACACATTGATTTTTAAAAGAATAAATTACTTTTAAATATAATTGTTATTTCAGCTTTTTCAGCTTATTCGAGCATTCAAATCCCACATTAACCTTACGTGATGCAGGTTTTGTAGAGGTGAGATTGGTTCCTCTTCAACTACTTCCAAATATGGTGGCTTTAAGAAACCTGAGTCAGTCACACTCCCTGAGCTTAACATGAGCTTAATAGCTATGTTCTCAATTCAATCGCACATGTACGTCCACTTCTAAGACTCCATTAAGCTGAGATTGGTCAGCTGAGCTTGCATAACATATTCAAAGCATGTTTAGTAATTGACTATATTTTTTTTTAATCTCATTTTGCGTACAATCCACTGCTCCACCTTCAAACTTGTAAAATAAGTTGTTAGTATTTTCTTTTGGATATGATTATTTGATAAATGCTGCAGTTTGAATAACAATTTAATTTTTTAAGATTAATGAATTTGTTTCATATTCTCAGCTTATAGTGTCTAACTAATGTATTTTATGATGTTACCCATAGGCTGTGGAGTTCATTTTCAAAGCTTATGTGGCTGATATTGACACAACCAATTGATGGTGCTACATCTCCTGTCTGTGTGCTTGTGCCAGCTGCTTCGTGGATTCACATCTATCAGCTGTGCCGGATGCAATGATGACAGTGCAGTAGGTATGGTCAGGTAATATTATCCTTGCTGGAATTTATTTAATTTATAAACTACATACATTAAGTTTAGTAATCGATAAGTAAATTTACATATTCTTCAAGTTCTAATGTGCAGGTTCCAAGAACAACACTGAATTTATAAAATAATGCCAAGAACAACACTGAGTTTGGTATCAATGTCAATCATGAACAAGGAACTCATATTCTTTGTCATAAGGAACTCATATCAGATTGAATCTCTGAAGCCATCATTGTTAAAATAAATCAAAATGAGACCAGAGATTCATAAACCCACATCTGTAAGAGGTGTCAGATGATTGAAGATCTCACATTTGGGAGAACGTTTTGTGAATGTAAGAAGCACCTCTGGATTTTCGTTGGTCACAGAAGAGAAACACAAAAAGAGTTTCTTGAGGACTAATGAGTTCTCAAGAGTATACCTCACTACTTCAATCCAAAACTTCTTCTTATGTTTCGATATTTTGGTTCTCCTGATGTACCTCGCTCTATTCTTCCCAGATTTCTGTACCATGGTTACTTCTTTAATCTCAATACACTCAAGAGTACATAGTAATCCCTAAGTTCAAGATTTTATGGTTCTACGTCCTCCAATTAAGTGGAACTCCGATTCTCACTCACGGCTGAAAAACTTAAATTTTGACAACACCAAAACCAATTATTAAATAGAAATTCTACGAGTACCCCCACAAACCAACACATCATTTAATAAATAACATGAAAAGCTTCATTTGACTTGGCCAAACATTTGGACAAATTTGACAAAAAATTATAGACCTAACAATCTATTTCTTCCACTCCATATCAAAATATTAAAACAACTCCAAAATACATATCTATTTACTTTGTGCATATCTAATTAATCAGCATAATCTTATGCAACACACAACATTCTTTTCATCGACTTTACTTTATATTTTAAGTTCAACTATATTTACTTTGTGCAAATATCAGCTATTTATCCTTTGTTTATTGCCTCTTTCATCTACCCAGCTATAAAACAAAATAGTACACTACTATCACTAACCACTATGGATCAAGAAAACCATTTTGAACTCATTATAGAACAAAATATACGAACCCGGCGCGTAGCACCGGCATACCACTGGTAGTATTATATAATTTTGACTCATGGAAATTGAATGAGACATGGACCTACTTTCCATATGTGTGTAGATTTACTATTAAATGGTAAAGTATGGAGTGTTTTGTTGACATCATAGATATACTTCGACTTTGCTTGGACCCTCTCAAGATCTCTTGCCTCAAAATCAGCCTCTTTATCCTCCAACCCGCCTATTTATTTATTAGGAACTTGGCTTTCTCTTTTCTAACATGGTAAGTTTCACTAGGAGTAGAATAGCGTTGTAAGGCATACTAGTGTCGTAAGGCCTATTTTGGAGCCCTTCTGGGTGTGTATCGGCTTATAATTATTAATGAATTTTTTTTTTAATGAACTGAATTATCCGAAGAATTAAACGAGCTCATATGGGACCTCAATAAATAAATTAAATCTGCAAATATGGAATTTTAACAAAAAGAATTGTAAAAATATGGAAATGGAACGAACCGGCTTTCCATATGTCATGAATATACGTATGACCTCATTTTTGCTTATACAGTATTCATCTTCTTTCTGTGTTAAGTGTGTGTTTCCTGATCATCTTTTCGCGTTGCCAAACTGATCTGAAGGGAGAAAGTTATACATACAAACACAGTCTAATATGGTTAGTTAATTTTATTAACTGCTGTTGATATATTTTATTTTTAAAATAAATTTAATTACAATTGGGGTTTCTTGAATATTTTAGGATTTTCAAGATTTAGATGTTTTGAATATCTTAGGATTTTCAAGATTTAGAGCATGTGCAACGGAGTAACCGGAGGAATCCTTAACGGCTAATCTTAGATTTAAGTGATTATAATAATAGTATTAAAGCTAACATAACTAAGGATTAAATAGGGATTTGAAATACTTGGCCCTTAGTGCACGTGGCAGTGGGAGAGCTTCTTCCTCTCTGCAACAAAGCGGTAGGTTTTCTCTTCTCTTCTCTTTCCCCTTCTTTTTCATTTTCTTCTTTAGAATTTTTCTCACCCTCAAAATTTATTTAGATCGGTTCTATTTTCCTTTGCTTTTGTGTATCTGTTTTTTTTTTTTTTTGATGTTGTTCTTTCTGGGTGGTGTTGTTGTTTTTCCAAGCTGGATCGACATCGGTTGGTGGGTTTCATCTTATTTTGAATAATTCAGCAGAATCTCTGTTGCGGTGAAACCAATTGTTATAAAGTTGGCTCCTTTAGATGGGTTTTAAGGTCCTGGTGATAGCATCTCAATAGATCTCTATCATCTTTGTTTGTTCGGGTACAAAAGCTATCTTCTTACGATATGTGATCTTGTGATTCTGTCTTTTGAGCTTGTGGATTGTTTATTTGACTATACTTTATCGTCAAGTTGTGGCCTTTCTTTTCCTTTTCTTTTACCTCGTTGTTTAGATATGTTTGCTTGATCTTGGGACTTTGTGATACTTGAGCTTCTTTGGTTGTTGATTTGTCAACCTCTTTAGGTGGTCAAATTGATAGTTAATTAAGCTTTTGTGAAGGTAAAGTTGAATTTTTTTATTTATTTTTGTGTGTTTGTTAATATGAATTGTGTTTTGCATCTGCTTCTAAGTGTTTCATCTTGTTAAGAATTCATGTTTCATCTGTTTTTTTCCTAAAGCATTGCCTTTTACTTCGTTATCTCATCTATGAGTCAATGAGCTTTTAACCCTTGTGCTTTTCTAAGTGAATGAAGCTATTGTATGAATTTATTTGCAATTCTCTGGTTGTCATTTGTATAAAAAGTTCTAGGAACTATGTGTAGATTGAGCATTTGAGTGTGTTCATGAGTTCCTTTTCATAGTTAAACGTTTCCTATGAAAATCTTGTAGAACCCTTTGCGTCTTTTTTGTTACTGAATGATTGATTTACTGTCTTTGTGCTTTTGCAGTCTCCCAATCAGGCACATTGTTGAGGAGCAAAGTAAAGTCTCGTGATTCCTCCTCTCCCAAATGTAACTATGGTTAAAGTTTAGCTGAGATGCAGGGAGAGAGGGCCAGTCTCGGCTATTTATTAGAGGCCTTGAACTTCGAGCATGGTCCTACCTCAAGTAATGGTGTGATAGACCACTGAGAGAATATTCACGGTCTTGGTGATAACGACTTTCAGGATAACATGATTGCAAATTCTGAATCAAGTGCATGCCTCGTAAACTCAGTTTATCCTGAGCAACATGATTTACATAGGTTTAGCCTCGGCGGGGCTAGCTCTAGTGGCACGAAGAATGAAGCTTCCAGTCATAGTGAGCAACGAATAAATGTAATTATTGATATAGACTCAGATTCTGAACAACCATCTGCCCCCAATCAACCTGTTCAGGGTGTCAACCTTAATGCATAATATATTGAACTTGACGAGGATGTTAATCTGGTTAGGGATAGATCTAACTTCTTTGAAGTTAAATTTCACTTTTTAAATAAATTATTATTATTTTTATCTCTAAAACTCTTAATTGGGGAACACCATTGCACACACTTTTTTATTAGAATCTTTAACTTTTAAAAAAAAATAAGAATAATTTTAATAATCCTAAAGACTCCCCTAACAAGTACACGGTTGTGGATGCCTTAGATGTTTCGTGTAGTCGGACTTGGATGAAACAATTTCATTTTTGATTAGATTTTGTGTTTGCATTTCTCACGTGTCTCTCCCTTTGTATTCATTTCTTCAGATATTTCAATTTTTCTCTCTACCAAACTGGATGGTCTAAGTACTATTCGCTTTTTTCCACATTTTTTTACCTTGTAACAAGTTTACAAATCCAATAATTTGGTAAACCCATATCGTAATACTTGAACTGTCATTTTAAAATGATATTTACATTATTAACAAAATAACTCACAATATGTTGTTATGTAACATATAAAATTTAAAATATAAGCATAAATTATATGTTGTTGGATACGTTTTTTTAATGTATTTTGAATTTTTTAGAACATGCATTTGTATTAGCATATGGAGCTCTGTGATACATGCAAAGAGGCGAGGCAAGAATGCACGCATGAGTGTATGCTAGCAACACCCTACATGCGGTCGAACAAACCTGAGAAGTACTCTGACTTGTCTAAGATGTTTGGGATGAGAAATGTAGTGAGAATTCTCAAGGAAGTTGATCCTAGCCAGAGCCAAGCTTGTGTGGACTCGCTATGTTTCGAGGCAGAAGCACATATTCGCGATCCAGTTTATGGCACCGTTGGTATAATACACCTCCTCCAGTGTCGTCTTCAAGACATTAAACTTAGTTTGGAAATCTCTAAAAAGGAACTTGTGAAAATAGGACATGGACAAAACCATCAGCCCCCGAATGGAAGTTCACGTCTTTGAGGGAATCTAAGACGTGAATTTGGTAGACTTTCTTTGATTTGAGTTCTTTTTTATACATTTATAGAGATCTCGAGATCATAAATTTGAGGGACTAAGCAAAGGTTTTAATTTTTTTTATTCGTCATAGTGGTTAGTTTTTGTTTGTCATCTGATGGATTTATATTCATTTAAACTTTGAAATACACAGAGCCGACAAAGGTGTATCACCCTTTCGGAGTCATAAGCCGACGAGGTAAACATTATTTAAAACGCCACATGGATTACATAACTTGAATTGAAACACAGGAAGCAAATGAACTGGAGCACACAAAAGTACAATAAGAAGATGAAGCAATACGATAATTGAAGCTAGATTGAGCGAGACAGCGTTGGAAGCCAATTTATTTGAGGTTAGAGAATAGCTCCAAGACTGTAACAAGTTTGAGATAAGGTGAAGATGAAAATGATTTCTTATTAATGTTCAACTTGATGTTTACAAAGAAGAGCTTCAACTTATATACAAGAGAGTCAAAACCCTAAATACAGGAACTCTTAGATTAGTGCCACGTTACAGCTCGTGATCCAAGGGCTCCAAATTTGTTGTGCAGCTGGATTTGATTCCTCAGCTTTACCGTACCTTGACCACCAGCTGTCATTGTCATCTGATTACCGTTAGAGGAAGACGACAGAAGACATGATGTCTTGACTTGTTGTTTAGGCTTAGCTTCTTGGGCCTGTGACGTTAAGGCCTCTTTGTGTTGCATGGGCTTTGTGCTCTCAATACACCCCCTAAAACTTGCAGTAGAAGGAACCTCTACACCAAGTTTGAATCTCAAATCGGAGAAAGCTTTCTGAGGCAGCGGTTTGGTAAAAATATCAGCTATCTGAGCGGAGGCCGAGATCTTCTTAACCACAAGAGCTCCCAATGCAACCCGTTCTCGGACATAGTGAAAATCATTGTCAAAGTGCTTGGTTCTATTATGTAGTGCTGGATTTGCTGTCAGGTAACAGGCAGAGAGATTGTCACAGTATAACTCTGGTGGAGTTCGCTGAGACAGACCCATCTCCCCCATCAAGCATGAAAGCCACTTCAGTTCTTCAGCTGCATAGGACATCGTACGATACTCAGCTTCGGTGGAGGATCGTGAAACCGTAGGGTGTCGTTTAGCAAACCATGATATGATGTTGGATCCTAGAAAAGTACAGAAGCCTCCAGCAGACCTTCTTGTATCTTTACACCCTGACCAGTCACTATCTGAATATGCACGAAGGGTGAAGTCTGTAGAGCTGGTAAGATTTATTCCAAATTGCAAAGTACCTTTCACATAACGCAGGATGCGTTTGAGATTCAGGAAATCTGCATTGGATGGACAGTGCATCTTCTGACATACGAAGTTGACCGCGAATTGGAGATCTGGTTTTGTCAGAGTCATATATTGCAGCTTGCCTGCAAGGCTACAAAAGTAGGAAGGATCAGAGAAGGCCTTGTCCTGCTCAAGAACTTTATCAGGTCTTAAAGGCAGAGGAGTGGCAATGGGACTGCAGTCTTGCATTCCAGCAGTGATAAGCATATTTGTCGCATGCTTCTCCTGACATAAAAAAACACCATTAGCATGAAAATGTGCTTGAATACCAAGAAAGTATTGCAGACCACCCATATCCTTCATTCTGAATTCACTGTTTAAGTCTGAAAGTAGCCGCTTAACAAGATCATCATTGCTCCCAGTTAAGAGCATGTTGTCAACATAGAGCAACAAATACATTGTATCTTGCCCATGGAGATATACAAAGAGAGATGGGTCCCTCGTGGTACACTTGAACCCAAACTCAAGCAAAAAGGAGCTAACCGTAAATAGCTTTCCAGAGTTTGCAGACATAATCAGGATGTGCAGAATCTTCGAAGTCAGGCGGTTGCTTCATGTACACGGTTTCTTTCAAGTCACCATGGAGAAACACATGCTGTACATCCAGTTGTTTGATGGACCACTTCTTGACTGTTGCCACATGAAAGACTGTTCTGATAGTGGCTATGCGAACCACTGGGCTAAAGGTTTCAAGATAATCAATCCCTTCTTCCTGTTCATTTCCACGAGCCACAAGGCGAGACTTGAGTTTGTCAAGAGTTCCATCAGAACACAGCTTTACTTTATGAACCCATCCGCAACCAAGAGGTTGAATATTAGGAGGTGGTGGGACTAAATCCCACGTGTGTGAGATCTCATGATTCTCTATTTCTGTACCCATAGAGTTGTTCCAACCTTTATCTTGCAGAGCTTGCTTCACGGTGCGAGGAACTGGATAGTTTGACTTAACAGTAAGCAAAGCATACCGTGGATTTGGCTTTCTTATACTGTCCTTAGCTCTTGTTGTCATGGGATGGACTGGTGCAGGAGCTGCATGAACCACTTGTTGGACAACTGGAGCCGGACTAGGTGATGGAGTGAGAGGAGGGAAGTCGTCTTCAAAGAAATGAACACCATCTGAATGTGATTACTCAACAGGTGCAGGTGTTGAGGTTGTGGATACAACTCGAGAATAGACAGGTGGATCAGGTGGAGGGATACTAAATTCCTCTGGTGACTCTTCTTCTGAGACAGGAAAACCAGAGCTCCAGGCAGACATCAGAGGAGTTGTGAATGGACCCTGAAGATGACTGTAGATATCTGTATAGGGAAAAGACTTTTATTCAAACAGAACATGACGAGATATGTAGACAGTTCGCGTAGGAGGATGATAACATCTATATCCTTTATATTTATCATTGTATCCCAAAAACACACAAGGAAGAGATTTGGGATCCAACTTGTTTGCTGCATAAGGTCTCAGATGAGGATAGCATTTGCATCCAAAGACCCTTAGAGCTGTGTAAACTGGAGCCTGTGACATCAAGACTTCGTAAGGACTATTGTTATCTTGTAAAACAGAGGAAGGCAAGAGGTTGATGAGATAATTCGCAGTGAAGAAGGCTTCTACCCACAATGACTGAGGAACTCTGCTTTGAAACATGAGTGTCAAACCCAATTCCGTTAAACTGTGATGCTTCCTCTCTACAAGACCGTTTTGCTGTAGAGTATGTGGACACGAGATCAACTGACGTATTCCACAGCTTGCTAGATGAGTAACAAACGCCTTGCTTACAAATTCTCCACCCCCATCACACTGGAAACTCTGGATCTTACTACCAAACTGATTTTCAACCATAGCTTGAAAGCCAAGAAACACAGACATAAAATCGGATTTGAGTTTAAGTGGATAAAACCAAGTGTAACGAGAGTACTTATCGATGAATATCACATAATAACGAAATCCTTGAGGCAAAATTATAGGTTAAGGTCCCCACAAATCGTAGTGTATGCGTTCTAAACACTTATTTGACACAAACTCAGAAGAAAGAAAAGGCAGTCTAGTTAATTTTCCCATTCTACAAGCATCACACATCGAGGAGCTTGATTTATTGATAACTATGGCTTTCAGTGAAGATAGGTGTTGAAGAATCTCCTTGTGAGGATGACCAAGCCGCATATGCCAAACCTCATCACTTGTAGCTTGTTGCCTGGTAGAGTAATAAGCTAGAAACTTCGGATTCTCCAACATATAAAGGTCTTTATGTCTGCTTCCTCTAGTGAGGAGCTGTTGTGTCCGCTTTTCCTTCACAATCACACCATCACAGTCAAACTTAACAGCACAAGGAAAATCAGCCGTGAGCTTAGAGACAGACAGTAAAGACTTTGTAATACCAGGACACACAAGAACATCAAGCAATGGAATATTACCTTTATCACCAGTAAGAAAAGCATAACCAATGTGAGTAATAGGAAGAAACTCACCATTGCCTACAATAACAAAGTCATCACCATGGTAAGGCTGAGCAGACTGAAGATTCGCAGCAGTGTTGGAGATGTGTGAGGTCGCACCAGAGTCAGCATACCACTCTTGACCAGCCTGTACACTGTTGTCTGAAATCCTGATAACATCAAGAGCATTAGTGTATTCCTCAGCTTGGTAGTTCTGGTCGAAGCGCTTGTAACACTTGTATGCTGAGTGTCCATACTTATGGCAGATCTGACAGGCGGGACGAGTGTTGTTCTCTGAAGAAGATCCGGTGTTGATTTGTTGATGGAATCCTCTTCCTCGTGTTGAGTAACCACGTCCACGAGAGTAACCAGACCGGCCTTGAACACGTCCACAGTTGTTGTATCCTCGACCAGCAGCAAATTTCTGATTTGGATTCACTGAGGTGTTTGAAGAATACGCTTGAATCTTCTCATCGAAGTTAGTGAGTTTGATCTCCACATCTTCACAAGTCATACCAAGATTTGAATCAAGAGTGTTCTCAATGACTGCAATAATCGCTTCATACTCTTGACCTAACCCATTTAGAACACCATAGATTTTCTCATTCTCAGGGAAAGAGCAACCTATAGAGTCTAACAGGTCACAGATGAGCTTGACATCACTTAGATAAGCAGAAAGAGTCTTTCCTTGTTTTGACACTGACTGCAGACGACGTTGAAGATCACATTTGCGAGAAGCAGAGATGCGGTTGTACTTTTTAGCAAGAGAGAACCATACCTTCTGAGCTGTTTGAAGACCGTAGACGGATCTGAGTGCTTCCTCTGAAAGGGAACCAAAGAACCATGCCATAATCTTCTGATCGTCTCGAATCCATTTAACGAGACCATCAGTATTTCAGACAACACTCTGCCACGATCCATGTTCGACAACATCTCCGGTTCAAACTTGGATCGTGGCAGAGAGACGAGGGGTATCACCGTTAACATGGCCCATCAACGTCTGACTGCAGAGCCATGTCTCGATCTGTAGCTTCCATAACAAGTAGTTGGTTGAGTTTAACTTAAAAGTAACACACTGATTTATAGTTAGGGTAGAACCCAAAATGATCTCAGTAGTTTCAGCCATGAATCGGCTGAAGCTCTAATACCATGTAACAAGTTTGAGATAAGGTGAAGATGAAACTGATTTCTTGTTAATGTTCAACTTGACGTTTACAAAGAAGAGCTTCAGCTTATATACAAGAGAGTCAAAACCCTAAAGACAGGAACTCTTAGATTAGTGACACGTTACAGCTCGTGATCCAAGGGCTCCAAATTTGTTGTGCAGCTGGATTTGATTCCTCAGCTTTACTGTACCTTGACCACCAACTGTCATCGTCATCTGATTACCGTTAAATGAAGACGACAGAAGACATGATGTCTTGACTTGTTGTTTAGGCTTAGCTTCTTGGGCCTGTGACGTTAAGGCCTCTTTGTGTTGCATGGACTTTATGCTCTCAATAAAGACCAGGTCCAATAGAGAACCACTAGCAACCGATACTCAAGAACAAGCTTCAAGCGGCATATTGGTTAGTTTTAATCTCATTATTTTTTAATAAATCACAATTTTCTATTTTTGTTTATTTTTACTGTTAGGTTTTCAGTTAACAATTTCCAAAACGCGGCAGTTTTTGTCGTACCAAACCAGGTAAAACAAATATATGTAAACGCCTTCCCTACTTTCCTCTGGTGTTTGTGTCTCTCTATTTGGTGCTTGTGTACCTCTTATAGTTTATAGATTTAATACGATTGATATTAGATTCGGGAAAGAACATGAATTCCCCATTTCTACACATTATTTGTGTATATAATCCCACTTCAAATCCACACAATAACAAAAACAAAAACAAAAGAAGAAGAAGAAAGATAATCAGAATTCACATTTGAACAGTCATTTTACTTGTTGCTTAAGATATCACTTGACCATGAATCGGATCTCATGATTGGTTCCGTTTCTTGAACTCCAACGAAGGTGTATATCAATCCTTGGTTCAGATTCATCATTCGGTCTTTCTTGATCTTCTCCTGAAGATCGGTCTGTTGTATTTTGATTACCACTTTGTGATATGCTTTGATTGGTCCTGAAACAATCACAATCCGTAGGTTGGCACGTGATTTGTTCAAGTTTAGTGTTCATTTCAGACATCTTGGTCGTGAGTTCTTTGATATCTAGCCATTGGTTGACTTGAACGTCGACATCTACCATCCATCTTAATGAAGCTTCTAACTCTTTGATTCTACTCTTGTACCTAAAAATCAGTAACATATATATTATATAAACCAACAATAATATTTTTCCAAGAAATCATAAATACTTTCACATATTTCATGTATTATATAAATTACAAACCTAAACTTCTTGAGTAGGTTTCTGCGTCTGAGTTCTGCATAAGCTTCAACAAGAAGAACGGCCTTTTCAAGGAGATGCTTGAGTTCTTCGATGACTTTCCTTTGAGAATCTTCTACTCTTTCGCTGAGCTTATCGACTTGATTCACCAACGGAGTGATCATGGAGATTGTAGAATCAAGACGGTCCAAGATACATTTTGTGGTCAATGCTCTACCTTTTGCTTTTTTGATGGCTTCGTGAAGCACTTGGAGAGTAAGCCCAAGAGCAGCCCCTGCCACAAGCTCACCAATCGGCATTTTCTTGAGAATAATGAGGAGAGAAGACTCTTCTTTGTGTTGATAAAACGACTTGTGTTGGAAGGACTATATGGGGATAAGAGACAATATTGACTTTGACTTAGTGTTGGTCGACTCCTAGGTGAAAGGAGTTACTTAGATATATCCAAGTTGTGATTATTTAATTCCGCTAAAGGAAAGAGATTCAATCTCAATGATTGACTTTGTATGTAGAATAAGTTGTTGACTTGCACTAACAAACATACAAAAAGCTTATAATTTGAAAAGTTAATTCAAAACAACACTAATTTTCTTTGTTTAATCCCTATTGCTACATACTAATTCTCTTTGTTTAATCCATATTGCTACATATTATACAAATTAGATGACATTAAATTGTAGGAAAGAAAAAATGAATTTTGCGACTATAACCAGTGATCATTAAAAAAGTAAATAGGAAAGAATAAAAAGTGAAAATAAAGAAAAATAAGAAAATTGAATAAGAATGTTTGATATCTTATATATTAAAACAGAAGTCACAATCTTGATTTATGTGTGATTTTTTTTTTTTAAATAGACCATTCATTAGAAACTTACCTAAATAATTTTTTTGTATAAATATTTAAAATATTTTAATTATTATAAGAAAAATCAAATAGATATTCCTATATTTTCTCTGAATTACATCTAAACAAAATCTTTTCATTTCTTTTTATTTACAATATAAATATATATTTCATTTTTCATTAAAACATTTTTAAAATATGTAACTACTTTTTTTTAAAAAAAATATAAATTTATATTTAGTTTTCACTTACACAAACCTTTTAAATATTTAATCAATTTCGTAATTATTTGAAATATAAATGTATATTTCATTTATACTAAAATAAACCTTTTAAGTATCTAATTAATTATGTAATTATATTAAACTCGTGTACTATTTTGTATTGAATTTGTGATATAATATTTTTCAGTTAAATCTTTGATCTCTAAAATCTAAGTTTTTTTAATTCGGAATTTTGTACCACATTGTTGAAAATATGCTATCAATATGAATGATCGGTCTACAAATGAAATTTTGAAAATACATTTAGTTTATGTTATTAAATATAGTAGTAGATTTAATTTTAAATTTCAATAATAGAAATATATGACTGCTTTGTTTTACAAAAAGATAACCAAGCTCATTTTTATATATATTATATTCATATATTATTCATTAATCTAATTGTTTTTGTTTCTTTTATCGTATGAATTTTTGAAAGTGCAATAGGTTATGTACCAATTAATGTCATTAACAAAAATGACAGATACATGATTAAAAAATATCATTCATGTGAATATTTTTATTTATAGTGTGTTTATTATCAAATGTAGTTATAGGTTTAAGTTTTTATTATATAACTTGATGTATGATATATGAAGAATTGCAAATAAAAGTTTTAACATTGAATAATTCAATGTAAATGCCAATTTTTTTTTTTGGGGGGGGGGGTATTAAAGTCCAAATCAGCAATTGACAATATAAGAATCCTAAAAAACATATATAATAAAGAGAAATTTTAGATTTTAAAGGACAAAACAAACCAAATGTATTACAATTTCCGGTTTAATAATTTAAATGAAGCAAATGTTTTATTAATTACACCTAATATAGTTTATTCAATCAAAGATTTAATTCATACAAATAATTCGGTTAACATATATGTATGACCAAAACCTAAAATACAAGTACAATCTTAAAGAAATTAATATCTAGTTAATAATAAATCGAACAAAATTGTTGAAAATATCACATAATGTAAGGTTTTAGTTAGTGTTCATGTTTTAATAAGAAATGTATCACTAATAATTTAAAACAAGAAATTAAATTACTGCATGCAAACTATAGAATTTTTGTGTTTTAAAATATTATATTAAACTTTTAGTAATATGGTAAATATTAAAATAATATAGCACTAATCATGTAAATCTAATATTTGTACAAAATGAAAATAATCACCTGCACGGTTGTGCGGGTCAAAAATCTAGTTAATTATTCATTTCCAAATTTAGTGACATTATCTATAACTTCTTTAATATAGAGAAATGAAAAGAACAATATATAAAGACATTCTTTGGGGAAACTCTTTAGTCTAGTGATTAAGGATTTAAAGGTTTTTATGCGAGGTATAGAATATTTCAAAGGATTAAATTTTATTTCGATTATAAGATGTAAAGTTTACAAAAGCTTCAGAATGTTGTACAAAATCATTAGTTGTGCTCCTGGACTGTGGAGATATCATGTCCATCGAAGATGTTATACATGTAAAACTGTTTATCACTTCAAGTGATTCGAGGATCATTACATCAGAAATGTTTGTCGAGAAATTGTTAACTAATATCATTGCGAGTAATTTATTATCATTTATAAGAGAAATAGAGATTATATGGTAATGAACTAGTGTTAAAAAAAAATTAATAGATTGTGTAAATTTTAAGAAATAAGATCAATCCATTGTCATTATCTATTTTTTTAGTTACCATTTAAAATTTACAAATTATTGTGTATATATCTCATTTCCAACCTGCATTTTAAATTAAATCATATTTTGAGAAAATGAAACATAATTTCCCAAGATTTTGAAATCAGTAAGTTTGTTCTTTAACTATATTTGCGCACAATAATACCTCAAATAGTTACATTAGTTTTAGATCTTTTTTTTTTACAATGTTAACATTCTAGAATAAAACAAGTTAATTTTGCTGGATTGTGTTTGAAATCAAATTTACATTTAATGAATTTTTTTCATTTTTTTATTTTTCAAATTAATGATAATTTTAAATAAATAAATCTATTTAAATTTAATTAAAGTATTTAAAATTCTATGTAGTTATACAAAAATTTGTAGCTATATTTGTCACTAATTAGCAATAAAATAAGTTGTAGCTACATTATAGCTTTTTTTATTAATCTGGGGGTATCTCAGGTCCATAGAGAGGCCCATAGAGAGGCTCAGGCTAATTCGTAAAGAGAGGTGCAGTCCACGGATAGACTCTATCTCCGGGTATTCAAATGGACTCGAAAGCATGAATCTATATCCGTGTTAAGTGACCAGAAATAATTATGACTTAGTTTTGCATAGTAGATGGGTCGAAGCTGCAATATGTTAGTATTTCAACTTCTACTCCTTACCACTTGACCACAATTATCTGGTCTATTATAGCTAGTCCCTATGGAAAATACTCTTGCTGGTTCATTGCTAAATGGCTACGCACCGAGTTTAGTGTGGAAGTTGATGCTAGATCCGTTGCTAGGCGGATTTTAGCCACGGATTGTATGTGACATCTACAAAATAATCGGTAACTATTTAGCTAACTTCTTGCAGTGATAGTTGATTATGCAAAATCTAGTTATTACATCAAACAAAAAGAATTAATATGCTAATCAACTATCTAAACACTTTGACCTTCAATTGCTTTGTATCAGGTGATATAGTTGGCTTATGAATGATCTTTGGCTTTTGTATCTTAATTCATTATATATTAGTTATTCTCATCTTTGTTAATATTTGGACACAAGCGTTAGATGATAATTAAAAACGAACTTTTATGTAAATAATGCAAATGACAAGAGTACTGTAAATATATATGGTATTCATTTTTTATTTTTATCGTTTCTTTTTTGAAAAATGAATGTTTTAAATTCTATTGAATATCATTTACGAAAACAATTCCATAAAAAATAATTATAAGTCGCATTCATTCTAAAATGACATTCATATCAGAGAATTTACATAATATATTTCAAACATATCCTAAGACCATCTCTAACCCAAACTTATTTTTTCCTCTATAATTCTCGTAAAAATAGAGTAACTTTATTTTATAGTGATTTTTGTTCTAATAATTCATTATAAAATAGAGTTACTCTATTATAAAGTAGAAAATAGAGAGATATCACTTTTTCATTCCATAAATAGAGTGAAAATGATATTTTTTTATTTTATAATAGAGTAACTCTATTTTAGAATGAATTATTGGAATAAAATTTATTCTAAAATATAGTTATTCTATTATTGTGAGAATCATAGAGGACAAAATAAGTTTTGGTTATAGATCCGCGAGTTGGTTCGCAAAACCGCTTAGCCAAGGTAGACAAGTTTGGACATATAATACAAATCGCCACTTGTGACGGGCTAGCCCGCACAGCACAGTCCATAAAAAAGGTTAAATTCGCTATGAATCACTCTAATATGCAATTGTTTCAGTACAGCGAGAGTCACGCCTTGAAGGCGTTTATTTGTGAGGGAAATGATGGTAAACTAAAACAATTGCATATCTTACTGAGTCCACATTAAATAAAACCCACTTATTAAATGGTCTATAGTGTCTATCCCCTTTCTAAATTGACCTCGAATATATTCCAAGTTGGCCATAACCAGATTTTTGACGTGTGGAAAACGATCTATAACATGTTTATAAAAGAAACATTTGTAAAAAAATATCTAATGTATTTCTGTAAAACCGGCAATTGGCAATATTTACCCTATGCACGTCTTTGAAAATGAAACATTCTCTTTGTCAATTTTTGTTCCTAAATTTACATATAAATAATGCAACTCATGATGAGTTAAAGAGACCATGCTCCGTATTCTGAAGAGAGAATTAGAAGGTCGAGGCCTGCAGTACAGTGGATTACAAAATAGCTTTGTTCAAGAAAAAGAAGAAGGATGAACATTTACACCAAAAAAAAAAAGAAAAAAAAGAAGAAGAATGGAGAAATTGATAAATCAATTATCAAACCTGGAAGTCGATATCCGTAGGAAAGAAGAGGACATGACTAAAATCCTAGATGCCAGGTATGTATATAACTAAATATAACAACACTAAAGTAGATTTTCAGTTTTTGAATGCTTTGACTTATTAAGATTATTAATATTCTACGTTACATTGGTCAGTGTAGTTTCACATTAGCTTAACCAGAGTGTGTTATGCCTTTAAGATTTGTGGATTGTGGAGGCAAGAACATAGTGCTATTTGATTTATAGCTCCTGCACCAGCCAAGAACGTAGAATCTCTCTACAGAAACAGAACTCATGTTAGCTTCACTTGTGTCAGATCCCAAGGAAATTCGATTAGACATGAGATTGTCAAACTTACAGTTCTACATATGAGCAAATTAGTTTGAAATTTGATCTGGAAAGGAGACTTTTTTGTGCTGACATCTGATCCTTTACTCTCTCAGGGAATTTCAACTGAGAGGTTTAAGTTGAATACTTATGTAGCAGCTAGCATTGTTGAATCTGACTTCCTAATAAAACTCTAAGCAGTTCTTGAAATAGACAGAGTTCTTGAAACCTTTGAAGACCAGCCTCAAAGTAAAAGAAGTTCAATTAGGTCACTATATGATGTAGCTTAACAACTGAGTTATGCAATGAAAGAAGACAGTCTTTTAGCATCTTCAGCAGCTTGGGAACATAACTTCCAGTTTTGTTCAACTGTAGAAGTCTCGAGGGAAGTTTTTCTTCCTCTTTGAAGTCATATACATTTCCTTCAGATGGAAATTCCAGAAAGAGCGTCAAAGAATCACAGACTGCACGCAAGTATTTACCAGAAAAATACAGTGAACATTATCAAACGTGTATCATTTGGGACATATGTTAGGTAATTTGAAAACTAGGGAATTCACTTAGACAGTATACTACAAGCTAAAATTGACTGATCTCTCAGGAACAGATATCCAGATGGAGAAGTTGATACGCTAGTAACTTAGAGAAAAGGATTAAAACCTCAGCAAAGACAGTTTGAGAATCTTGTAGTGTGTTATTCTAGATACTTAGTAAAGACACATGGGGATCTACATTAATTTTTCGGTGTCCAAGACCTGCAGATGGTAACTATACGCTGCTGAGCAGATCCCGAGTCTTGACACTGCAACACACATTCTCCCATCGAAATTTTAAAGTAAAAGGGAGATGAGAAGGAAGATAAGAAGATTAGCTTCTCCGAATAATTGAAGCGAACAACAACAGCACACAAGTTTCCTCATCTGGAGACCAGTCTACTCGGGAAATAATTCAAGCACAAGATGAATAAGACAGTGTTAAAGATGATCATCATTCATTGAACAAGATCTATTCCTTACACTACAGCACCTATCCTCTTGTTCTAAACAAGTATCCTCATTTCCAATTCTCAATCACTTGTGCAAGAACTGAAACAACACAGTAGAAAGTAACAAGGTAAAAGATCCGCCCACAAAATTAAAAAAAAAGAAAAAAGACACACACAAACTTTCTCTGTTTTCTAGTTTCATTACACAAAGTTCTAAAAAAAGACCAGACACACTAAAAAAGAGTAAAAGATCACTAAAGCAAATCGAAACCCTCTCCTACAGACAGAAGCTTTATGAGAAAAAAAAAAAAAAAAGTCTCTTTCACTTGAGCGAGTTCCCAGGCGTTGTGATAGAGAGATCCGGCCACGCAAAGTACTCACCCCCGTTGCTACTCTCCAAACCCTCGAACTGCCACGTGGACGGTATCGTAACAACCGCGTGATTATGCCCACCGTTACTACTCCCCACATTCGTCGTCGTAGCAGAACCCCCACCCACACTCGAAAACGGCCACACCGCTCTCCCCATCCCGAAGCTGACGTCATCAAAACCCGACCCGAGCCCGATCCCAAACCCGCCGATTCCGATAACCGACCCGGTTCCATGCGCTGCGGCTGCGTTCTGGCTCAAAAGAGACGTGAAGCTTCCGGAGAGAGACAAAGCGTTTCCCTTCCCTTCGTTCTCGAGCGGAGCCGTTATAACGCCGTTAGAGGTCGGCGAGTGTGGGAAGAGAACAGGCGTCGCTTGTAACGGAACGTTAACGGTTCCTCCCGAGGAGGAAGGGGAGGAGGAGGAAGTGCGGGAGCGTTTGGCGGTTTTGCGAGTACCGCCGCCGACGGGGATGTCGCGGAGAGTGCCGCCGTGAGTCCAGTAACGGCGGCAGGATTTGCAGAAGTGACGAGGCTGAGAGAAGTTGTAGTTGTTGTAGTAACAGAACTTTGTGTTGGTTGATTCGCAGCGAGGACAAGGGAGCTGCTCTTGCTTCTCGTTGGTGTTGGTGGTGGTCGGAGGAGGAGGAGGAAGCACACCTGTTATCACGCCGTGTGGTCTCATCTGTCGTGGTTCGTCGGAGTTAGACGTCATCATGGTGTTGGTGAAGAAGTTCTTTTCTTTTGTTGTTGTGTGTGTTTTGGGGTTTAAAGGTTGGGACTTTTAGTGAGATTTGTTTTGGTTTATATGGAGGAAACAAACATGCGCAGATAGGAATGGGGGGTAAGGAGAAGAGAGTCAGGCTTTTTTTTTGACAGAGGGTGTTGGGTTGATTTGAGGCCACGCTTCCTCTCTCTCCTCTTCTCTCTCTTTCTTGTCTTTAAAATTTGTCTTTTTGTGGGTTTTTTCTTGGAATAGTTGAGTCGGCTATTGATTGTTGTGAACAGTGTTGGCTCTGTTGAGTCGGCTCACTTCATTACATAGGTGGCTCTTCTTTCAATGATCTCAGTTTGAAACAATGAGATGAATAAAACAAAAATCTTACATTCTAATTTCTACAACCTTCAATAGTGTGATGGAATAATAGTATTAATCTACTATAGGTTAATTATAGCTTAGTTTTATATTCGAGTTACACTTTAGATATAAAAAACTTTATAAGGTAAAGTCGAAACATACACACAGAACATTGCACTTAAACTGCCGCCCGCCATGAAAATATCGTCGCATTATTTGACTATGGCCAACAGTAAGTGAATAGTGTGGCACATTAAACGTTTTCATTGACATATTTGAGGTTGAAGTATATGAAATGAGATTTACTTTGATATTCAACGAGGTGATCATTCACAGTTCTGATTCTAGGATTTTACTGAAATCTTTGCTAACTGTAGTAGTATCGGCAAAACATCATGATATATTTGAGTCTAATCCTTTATCATCTATAGAATTTTATTATTATTATCTTTACCAATCTTATAAATAATTTTTGACACACAGAAAGAAACAATTATTGTACTTGTTTGTCTAATAATGCGAAAGTTTAGCCACGGATTCATGGCGCTGCCTTTATGTTTACAGTTTTAAAATTAGTTAACAACAGACAAAAGAATAATAATAATTACCCAATTTACCTCTTGTGAAATACAAATGCATGTGGAGTAAAAACACGAGAACACAATGATACGGAGATAATGCATAGAGAGAGGTGTGTTAGGTCGCAGTAGGCAACACATAGGTAGGCGACTATTTAAGTTATCAATGTACGGCTAGTTCCCAGTAATTCTACAATTATTATCTCTTACGTTTTTTATTTTTTATTTCAATTATTTGAAATCTAATTACTATTGAAATATTATAAAATTTATAGTACACCATGTAACCTATTTTTCCATAATTTTCGACGTTTATTTCATATTCAGTGTCGTTTTAAAGATTTTTTTGTTATAAAATAAGTGTCGTTTGCACTTTTCGATGCAAAATTTATTAATTTTTGTGCAGTCTATTTTTCTATTGGTTGATATATGGTTAGGTGTATAGGTAATTGTGTTTTTATATAGAAAATATACCAAATTAATGGTTTCTTTAATCCATGTGCATGAATCTAAAACGACACTTATAATGAAACAGAGGGAATATTATACTTGCGTGAATGTCATTTTTAATAATGTTATTTATTTATGGTTAAATTTCCTAAATAACAATTTTTAGTTTGTATTCTTTAAACACTTCTTACAAATCAATTCGAGCAAATTCATTTAATTAGAATTAAATAACCATTACAGTTTCATTTATAATCTTATTTAATTATTACTAGATATAAAAATAAAAAAAAGTATTAAAGTTTGATATAAGAAAATCAAAAAATTCAAATAGTCTAAAATTTTGTATTTTTAATATTTTCATATTTCTGCATTTTAAACTTTTCAAAATATTTTTTTTTAAAAACAAAATTAATTTTTTTAAATATATATGAAATGTTTCTGAACTTTAAAAAAATATTTATAAGTTCACTAATGCCGTCCTAAACGGTAAATATGACATTTTAAATATAATATATATATTTTGGAAAATATTTCTAAATGTGTATGATATTATCTCAAATTTCAGTTATATGCATAGTTAAATATGTCTTATGTTTTTTTATAAAATTTATATATTAAACACTAAAAGTCTTCCTAAAACTTTTGGAACATATTATATATGTTGAAGAATATAGTCTTACTAAATACAGATATAATTCAAATTCAATCAATATTCATAAATATATTTTCATGAAGGTCTTTCTAAATACATATCTAAAAAATATATTTTAAAAATACATATGAAATTATTTTCCTAATCTTATGAACATATTATTAATATTTTCCTAAAATTTAATAGGATATTATAATTCTGTAGTAATGTTTTCTTATATATGCATATGATTTAAATTGAGAAGATATTATACATATTTAGGAAGTTTTTTAAAACCTTTTGTTGTCTATAAAGAAATTTTATATTTTTTTGAAAAGGGGTTTGAAACAAAAAAAATTGAGGAAAATTTTGATTATTTAATTTAAATATTATTTGCTTAATGTAAATTGTATTATCATTTATCTTTTAATGAAATCTAATTTGATTGTTTTGACCTTTGTCAATTAGTTTGGGACCAAAACATGAAGATGATTTGGAGTTTTTTGAGATCGTTTTTCTTTATTTATTTGAGTGGGTGATTTAATGTAACTCATTAAAAGCAATATCATTAGTGTAACTTTTTTTTTGTGCAACTCATAAGCGTATCTCTATAATATTATTTGAGAAGTCACTTTCTTAGGCGTTGCACTCACGTTAACTCTCATGCTGGTTGATTACTATGATACCCCTAATGAATTAAAAATATAATTAAATATTACTTCCTTTTTTAAAAATTTCCAAATAAGAATATATAAAAAGGAAACACTTATAAAATTTAAAAAACTATTTAAAAACGAAAATAAGTATATATAATATGGTTTAATAAAAAAGGAAAGTTCACAAAATAGTAATATTTAATTTAAATATATTTTAAATACCATAAAATATACCTTTGAAGTAATAAAATACTTTATATCTATATTTTATTAGATAAAAAAACAATACATGTATATAATGTGATTTCATAAAAAAAATCCACACAAAAAAAATTGCTATTAGAAAAAGAAATATTCTTTCTTTAAAAAAAAATAATTTTAAACAATAAAATATATATATTTTCAAAAATTATTTTTGTATATATCTATCTATTTTATTAGATGACTACATAAAATAATCAACTAACATAAACTGATATATGTTTAATTGACATTTTTTAATAATTAGTATTATTGAAATTATTTTTTAGTATATTTATTTGACTATAATATCTTACAATTACAGTAAAATATATAAATTCTATTTTACTTATATAGTATAATTTCTCAAAAACAATCACTTTTTACTGACTATTTAAGAGATACTAAAAATAAAACTAAAATTAAATTTAATAATAAACATCTTTTGATCAAGTAACTACAATTATTTTAAAATATCATAACACTATATAATTTAACGAAGTAGATATATTATATTTTAATAGTTAAAATTATCTGTTTTAAGAATAAGGATTCTGATTTACTTAAGTATTTTGATTATGGTTATATTAAGTTTCACAAACATAAAAACGGAAAATAACTATAATTATTTTAAAATACCATAACACTATATAATTTAACAAGGTAGATATATTATATTTTAATAGTTAAAATTATCTGTTTTGTTAATAAATCTTTTGATTTTTAATTTTCTGTTTTTATGTTTATGAAACTTAATATAACCATAGTCAAAATACTTAAGCAAATCAGAATATTTATTTTAAAAATTATTTAAAATAAATTTCAGTTTACCATCCAATCAATCTAAAGCATAAATTTATTTAGAATTTATAAAATATTTTAATTATTGTAAATATTGATATGTGTTCAAAAGCTTCTAAAAATTCATTAGTTACTTATGTATGTAATTTAGAATCAGACACTTTAGTTTTTATTTTTTTCCTTCTAAGCACAAAAAAATCTTAAGTTATATATAATCTTACTAAATATACTTATATTTCTAAGATAACAACTAGCATAAATGCAAATAAGACAATTAATATATATAAAATATAAAAGATTATAGTTGAATTCATAAAAATATATAGAATCCAATATATCTAAATGATAACTAAATCGACCGTAAAAACAATAAAACAGATTAAATATAATATATCTAAAACTATATATATATAATTAAATTATTATAATATTATAATATAAATTAGACATACAAACTATAAATTAATTTAAAAATTAAAGTAAATATCAATTAATTATTATTGTATATTTATTTTATAAGTATACATGCCCGTGCATGAGCACGGGAAAATCACCTAGTTCAACAATATAAAAAGACTTGAGTGCCTGTTCCAGAATGTTTTCTTTTAGAACTTGTTCCAGAAAGTTGGAAACGAGTGACACGTTTTTCTATAATTTCGTTGGCTTTTAACTTGAAAAACGGATAATTGGATTTATTGTATACTTTATATGAGACGAATTAAATTATTACTACTTTGCGGGATCACGCAGCTTTCGAAATTAAAGTCCAAAAATGATCATGTTCCATTGTTCGCTGTCTAAGAAAAAAAACAATATAGTAATAGGAGTAATGTACCAAAAACATTTTGTTTGATTATCTGGAAATTATTATTTTTGAAACATTTTTTTGCTAATATGTTATTTAAATTATACAGACACGTGAGAATCGTTTATTTACTCAAAGTATATTACTTATGTTTGCGGGATTTCTAATTAACATAGGTAACGGCGGTGGACCCTGCTCTCGTGTTTCTCCAGTAATTTATTTCACCCAGTAATGGTGTATAACTAGTCTAACAAGTTGATCAATTAATCACGTTGTAAAACTATGATGATTCTTGATTTGACAGGCGAATTAGAATCAATGTTCAGCTACCACTTAAGGCGACTAACAGTTTGTATTGTAGTTTAATTTCTCCAAGAGGACCACATTAATCTACCAAATCTATGCAAAAGATATAAGATTATAGTTTCTAAAACATGGGACAAAAAACAATTTTGTAGTAAAGAATACAAATACAGAATACTACATGGTACGAAAACAAACATAACCTTTTTTTTTTGAAAAGGTGATAACAAAACATAACCTTCCATAAAAAAATAGGAGTATGATTAATATCATCTTGTAAGTGTGACAAATGAGGATAAGCCTTCTTACCAATGTGACAATGACTCATGAGGATGCATTTTTTTCCCTCTAAACAAAATAAAAGACAATTACCCAAATTAAATCAGTATATAAAAAATATTTTCACCATTTATATTTCAATCATAAAGATGAATTTTACTGCTATCATCGACGCCTACCAATCCAGCCATGTTCCCAGTTCAAAGCACGTACGCGAATATTGATTATCTATTCTGGAGAAAGAATGCAATAATGGAACCGGAAATGGACAGGGACCCTTATCCTTGGCTAATCTAATACATTTGGAAGACTAGAAATAATAAGTTATTCTGAGGCATTGATAGGATCCATTGGAAGTGGCGCGTTACGCAGAGAGTGAATGCCAAGCTTGGTTCCAAGCAAATGAGTAGGCAATACCGTCTTCCCTTGGGGATGGAATATGTGAAGACCAAACCTTAAGCTTGGCGAACATCTGCATGGTGGATGATCTTGGACTTCAACGGAATCATTCAGTGGATGTGCGTGGGTTTTGAATGATGCTTCTGGAAATAGTCAGTTACTGGGGGTGCGTAATTTTGATCGAGTGGAATCGGCGTTGCATTCAGAGTTGGAAACACTGCGGTGGGCAATGGAGAACATGCTTCAATATTCGTCATGTCAGAGCTTTGGAACTTATTGCAAGGAAATGAGCGAAATGCTCAGAAATCCTCATGTTTGGCCTAGCTTCTCAACAGAGTTGGAAAAATTGATGACGCTAAAGATCTGCTTTCCAGACTTCAAGATCTCTTATGTTCCTAGACTTCAGAATGGCGCTTCTGATTCGTTAGCTAAGTTAGCTATGTCTTTTTATCATAAGCTTGTGTACGTTGGTTGTTTTGTTCCGGTCTGGTTATCCAGACCACCTCAAATCGCTTGAGTAATAAATCAGTCGTTTGATGTCAAAAAAAAAAAAAAAAGATGAATTTTACTGTTAAATAAAATCTGTGATCGTTGCCCAAAAAAAAAAAAAAAAAAAAATCGGTGACCTTCAGGAGACCGCAATCAGAGGGAAATGTGTAATTATACATTTTCACGCCTTGTCCCCAACCCTTCCCATCATTCTGTCTCTCTCCGCATTTCTCGTTAACTTCTTAACTTACTTTTTCCTTCTCTGTTAAATTATTATCTTAAGAAAATATCAGTACTATTAAAATAAGAACTAACTTTGAAAGTGAACGTAAAAAAAATATCCTACACAACATAGAACGTGATAAAGACAAATGACAAATCCGACGTTTTCCTTAAAGTAAAGTTTTCACACTGGTCAGGTAGTCTGGTCCATATATGTGTATAAAAAAGGGGAAAAACGAGTTACAAAACAATTTTACAAAAATACATATAAAAAGAAAGCGTTAAGAGAGAGATAAAGAATCTTAAAGAGAACGGTCAAAGAGACAAGATTGAAGCTGTCGAGTCGGGTCGAAGGAGGTGATGGATAAGCACGCGCAGCCGGAAGGAAGATGATATGACCCACACATGAACCACCATCCAAATCAACGACTTATATCTCTCTCTCTTTCCCTCTAGTCGCTTTCACACCCTAAACAATGAAGAGAGAGAGAGAGAGGTGTGGTTTGTGTGTTGTGGTGTGCCATATGGACAGACGATGTGTCCTATTTGTATTGCAGCCGTCCTTTCGTTGTCGTATTCTGGTCCGGACCGGTCCTCTCAGATCATACTTCTGACACCCTCTCCCTTATTCCATCTCCCTTCTTCTTGTCTTTTTCCTCCTTGATCTTCTCTGTTTTCTGATTCCCATCCTCAACAACCTCTGATCTGAGGATTTTTTATCTCTTGGTATGTGCATCAAAAATTAGTTTTATCTGCGATTGCTTGAGGGCCACCCATCCAATGTTTTTTTTACCGCAGTTATCAAATATAAAAAGTATACATCTGACTGTTCCCTTTGTTATTTCTTAATTTAATAAATGAATCTGAGTTGCTCAATATAGATTCATTCTTATATTAAAATTGGAACAAGATTACTATACGCAATGGCTAAAGTTCAAAGATATCATCTAGACTGATGGTGTCAACCATATCATAAACTGGTGCATAAAATAAAACTAAACCACATGAGTTAAACATAGGGGTGGGCAAAAAACCTTAAACCGAACCAAACCAAACCAAACCAAACCAAACCAAACCGTGTTCTTAACCTATTCAATCTAAATGGTTTACTTTGGTTTTCCTTTATTATAGTTTGGTTTGGTCCGGTGTAGTTTGGTTTGGTTATAAAATATGTTGGTATTAGTTTGAATATAATCAACTTATTAGAAGATTATTTGCATCATAACTTAAAAAATAGAGAAGTTAAGAAAAAAAGAAGATATAACCTTAACTAAAGAAATCACAATATATTAATATATATATATATATATGTATATACATATGTATATATTTATATATATGATGCAAATAATCATTTAGTAAGTTGATTATATTTTAATCAAACTAATACCAACATATTTTATAACCAAACCGAACTACACCGGACCAAACCAAACTATAATAAAATAAACCGAACTAAATCTAAACCAAACCAAATCCCCACCAAATTATTTTAGTTTTGATTGGGTTGAGTTTTATAAAACCCAAATTAATCAAACCAAAGTGATCCATAATTTAGAATTAAACCGATATATCCACCCCTAGTTAAATAACATATCTACAAAATATCTATTTTTTTAAATAACAAAACTTGACCAGCTGTTCGCAACGACATCCCTTAAATATAAGGACTATAAACATTTTAGTAAAGGTTTAGAATTTCTTTTTTTTTTTTACAAATTTGGAATCTTTTTTACATAATTTTTTACAAAAAAATTCGGAAGCCTTATGTCAATATTTCACTTCACTATATTCAAGACCACCATGAATGATTTTAACGAAAATATAACCATATATGACCAAAAGGGAACAAAAACAAAGATGAAGCTCACAATTTTGGAACAGAAAGTACAATTTTTTTTAAAAAATTCTTAACAGGTTACGAAGGTGGAGGAGATTAAAAGGGGCAACGAATTTAAAGTCACCGTAGAGTAATTTGTCAGCAATGATATAACTGATAAGCTTAGCAGCTTCACTAGGATGGTATGGGTTCCAAAACACATGCTTTGACCGGTCCTTACAAAGGCTTGACGTTGGTCCACATGTCAATATCCTCGCCAATCTCCCTTCCGTCCCACAACACGCCTCACACGCCGTCCTAAACCCTATTACATCATTTTCACAGTAATCAATAAAATTAACAAATTACATTTTTTTGTAAACATTTTCCTTGTAACGGAAAACTTTAATACTAAAATTATCTATTCAAAACTCAAAGTCTCAAACTATTAACATGTCTAAAATTCATGATGAGTACCCCTAAGTAATAAACTTCAACACTTGAGAGCTCAATGTTAAAAAAACCCATGGGCCATTACTATATATTCTTACCAAATTCGTTGTAGTTGACAATGAGGTCTCCATGTCTTAGATCATAGACGTTGGCGTAAAACAAAGTGCGTCTTTTAGACTATCTTGCAATTCCACCAACAAGAGATTCTTTGAGACGAGCATTGTACTGGGGAGCCAGCTTGTTTGCCAAATCAACAGACTGCAAATCCTTAATTAACATCAATCAAGACTAAAAGAAATTTTAAACATACCTTGAGTTGCTCACGGAGATGACTATCAAGTCTTCAACAAAAAGCTTCAGGGGTTTGTGTTAATCTTTGTTTGTGCCGCAACAAAATCGGACTAGATAGTTGTTTAGAAAATCGTCTGAACCAATAACTAAGGAGAACAGTGACATTTAAAAAAAATTGTAATCTCTGGCTTTGTCTTCACTCAAAAAATTATCAAATTGCTTTCTTGAATATCCTTTCCTAACCGACTCACCTATACAATAGTAATTTTAGAACGTTGAATATATACAACAATCTAATGCACATTTGTGTACATGATCAAGCAAATAATTTGAGTTAAAAACACTGTTTACACATTTATAAAATATTTATAAGTTTTAACATGAAATTTTCTTGCCAACCAAACAACTATGACACAAAATATAGGTCTGATAATGCATGCATGAAAGCAAAAACACTTACAGATACGCTTCTAGTAGCATTGAGAATCCCACCACCATGCGTAGTTCACACCCACACCATTTAATAATGAAGCTAAGAAGATCGATTGTTTGCAATCTTTTATCTGTATTCTTTGATTCTTTAAGCGAACCAAAAATCTAGAGGCACTTCATGTAACAAATTTTTTTGATTGAATACATTTTACATTCATTCAAACAAAAAATAATAATAATGCTTTGCCACTTTTTTTGGATAAAATGTGAATTAATACCAAAAAGAAACGTTTTTACATCAGCTCGGCGAAACTAAGAAATTACAAAAGATCCAAAAAAATGGAAAAAGCCTAATGTCAACTCAGGGGAAGTAGCTTGCTTCAGAAGCAGAAGAATTAGTCGAATCTAAACCAGATAGAAAGCATTGTCTTGAACCGTTTCCTGTCACTGCGGCCAAACACAATGTCTTGTACACAACGATCAACCTGAGTAAAGACAGCAGAATGAGGCTGAGGGGTCCCAGCGTGCAGTCTCGAATTCCTCTCCCTCCAAATTAGATACACAGTAGCTTGAACTAAGATATGTTTGGTGGTGAAAAGATGTCTGTTCCCAGCAGCCTGCAACCAACTAACAAGAGCTGATCAAGTCCTCATTTGCAGCAGAGGAACTCCAGTCTAGAAAACAGCTTAGACCAAATCTGCTTGATGTACTCACAGTCCACAAACAAATGATCTCTGGTCTCAAGGACATCATTACACAGCACACAAGTCGCAGGAACATTTACACCCCATGAAATCAGTCTCTGTTTTACGGGCAATCTATCAAGATGAGCCACCCAGAAGGTGAAGGCGTAGGAATGGATCCTTGAAACCACACAGATCGAGACCAAGAGAGCTTAGGAGTCTTTGGTCGAAGATAATCCCAATTTAAATTTGAGGAGAAGTTGTGAGACACAATACCAGGGACATCCCAAGTGAAAATACAGGTCCTAGCGTTGGAGAAGGGAGCGGTGAGCAATCAAGTAGTCACGCACTTCTGCTAGCCTCCTATGTCTCACACGATGCGAAGGCAATCTCCAACCTGCAACAGAGCACGCCTCAGCAACACTGCTAGCCAGAGGGATCCCCATCATTTGAGGTCCACCGTGACCTATGAAGTTTAGCAATGGGCCAGGCTGAAGCCAATGATCAAACCAGAATTTCTCAGTATTGCCATCTCTCACAGATCATCTCAAGAATTTTAGGGCCAAAAGACGCTATGAGAGATTTTTCCAGATCCAAGAGTTGTTAGCAGAGCTCGGTGCGTTCCAGAAACTATGATCCTTCAGATTGTGCTTCCACATCCAAGCAACCCATAGAGAATCCAATTTGGAGAAGAGGAGCCAAATGAGTTTCAGATTTAGAGTTTTGTTCCAAAGACTGAAATTTCGCAGACCCAACCCTCCTTCATCCTTAGGCTGACAGACAATAATCCAAGCAACTTTCACACCATGCTTCTTAGCGATATCACCAGACCACATGAAGTGATTACACATGCTTTCGACCAACTTAATGCAACCTTTAGGGAGCAAAAATGCCAAAATCCAAAAGTTCAGAGTGCTGTAGATAACCGAGGAGATCAGTTGTAACCTACCAGCGAAGGAAATAGTCTTTGTTGTCCAGTGGTTAAATCTATTTGATATTGAGTCCAGCAGGGATGAATATTCAGATTTCTGGAGTGTCCTATGTGTAAGAGGTAGGCCCAAGTACCGGAATGGAAAGGAGCCATGAGTGAAACCAAAATCAGCAAGATTATCACGTTGATCCTCATCAATTCCGGCCGTGTACAGAGCAGATTTTAATCGATTCATCTCTAATCCAGAGAGTCGTTGGAAAGTTTCCAGGGTTGAAGTGAGCTCGCTTAAGGAGGCATGAGACCCATCAAAGAACACCATCACGTTGTCAGCAAACGCAAAGTGAGAGATCTTGGGATCTTGGCCTTTAGGATGGTAACCAATGCTGGCGTTTTCATACTTCCTTTCGAGGAGTCTACCAAATACCTCCATAGCGATGACAAAGAGGTATGGTGATATCGGATCCCCCTGCCTTACCCCTTTGCCCCTGCAAAGTAGCCATAGAGATCACCATTTACATTTATCGAGAAGCTAGTAGTTGTGATACACTGCTGAATCCAACCGATGAAAGGGGAAGGAAACTGAGCCGCTCTAAGAACCTGTAGAATGAAATCCCACCGAAGAGAGTCGAAGGCTTTCCTGAGGTCTACTTTGAGAACTCCTCTACCGGAATATTATCTTGGTTGAACTTCTGGACCATTTCCGTAGCCAGCAACACTTTCTCAATTAGCAACCACCCTTTAACAAAAATAGACTGATTAGGAGAGATCATAGCTGGGAGGAGAATCTCAAGTCTCTTCGCAATGATCTTAGAAATGATCTTGTAAAGAACATTGCAAAGAGAGATGGGTCTAAAATCTGAAATCTTATCAGCATTCACTTTCTTTGGAATGAGGGTGATAACAGTGCAGTTCTATTGTTTTAGAATCTTGCCATTGCGGAAGAACTTTTGAACTGCTCAAGTAATATCATTCCCAATAATGTTCCAGGCCGCCTTTAGAAATTCTGCATTGTATCCATCAGGACCGAAAGCCTTGTGGACAGGGAGAGCAAACACATTATCTTTTATCTCTTTCGCAGTTATCTCAGCTATCAACATATTCTTCATCTCATCAGTACACTGGAAAGCACTAAGGGAGTTCGCTTACTCTCTTCTCAAGACCTGAATAATTAATCTTGTTAAAGGACCGGATAACGCCCTTGAGGTTCTTCAGCTTCTTACTAACAAAAAACATTGCTGTCCCTGTAGGTATTCCTCCAAAAGTCCTCAACTAGACCTAAAAAGTTCTCATTATCAAGAAGGAAATTCGAGAATTTAAAAGGTCTCCGCTTCCTAGTCAGCTGACCTCCAAAGTGGATACAGGTGGAGCAGTGGTCAGAGAACTTAGGTTCCTTAAATTCACCATACGACATGGGAAAGATAGTAAGCCAATTATCATTAACCAGAAGTCTATCAAGTTTCCTAGCAATGGGATTCGCATCTTGCTTATTCCACCACGTGAAGTGACAGCCTCTGTATGAGAGATCAGACAGCTGAGCAGACTGCATACATATCCTAAATTCCTCCATTCCTCCTGAGATCCTAGAGCCACCAGTTGAAGAATCTTTGGGGTTAAGAGACTGATTAAAATCACCAAGGATCATCCAAGGCTTATCTGAAATGATCGGGTTACCAGATAAGTGAACAAGATCAGACCACAACTCCCTTCTTCCAATACGACAATTCACCGCATAAACAAAGGAGACTACAAATTCTGTTTCCACATGAGGTAAATTGACCAGACAAGTTATAATCTGGGCCGATTTTTGCAGAACAAAAACTACCACTTGAGGAGTCCAAACTACCCAAATTCTTCCAAGAGATGCATGCTCATAGTTTGCAACTGCATTCCAACCAGGAAAAGTAGACTGAATAAATTTCCGACTTCTTGCTAGCTTCACCTGAGTTTCTAGCAAACTACCAAAAATAGTATTATTATGCCTAAACCATTTACGAAAAGTTCTTCGCCGAACTGATTTATTGAAGCCTCTAACGTTTCAACAGAAGAAATCTATCATTAAAATTATGTAGAAGTGGGGCAAGTACCCCGAGGGAGACCCTTTTTCGAACTTGTTTTCTTGCTTGAGCTTGCTTTCTTTTCCTGCTGGAGCAGAAGTTTTTACTTCCCTTTGGATACGACTGTTGTGTATTCACCCTCTTCCTTTGACGTGGATGACTCCTCAGATGAATATTCTGAGGTATTTGATTCGGAGGAAGCAGTATCCTCCGCAGAAGAGGAAGATGAGGATGAGACTTGCATCTTCTTTCCCACTGCCTCAGATTGTTTCTGTATGTCAACCACTGAATCCTTAGGACGTTGGACACTACTCTCCTTTAGCGTATCAAACCCTATGTTGATCTCTAAGGTCCCACCAAGATCAGGGATTTGGGAAAACTCATTTTTTCCAGCTCGCTTACGCTTCTGCTTCTTCTTTCTCTTTTTGGTAGTATCTTGATCAAAACTGGTCTTGGCTGAACCCATTTTAGACCGAGGGCAAGCACTTGTCTCATGACCTGTAGCCTTACAAATCGTGCAAGTGATCCGAGCAGAAGGACATCGCTTGATGGAGTGACCCACCTCGTGGCAGTGAGTGCATATCGTTGGAAGCCACTGACTTGACACCAAAACTCTTTGTATATGGCATGACTGGAATCAGACATTAACCGCCTCAGGAAGTGGTTTAGTAGGATCCACGATGGTATAGACTCTTGCAACTTCCAGATTTGTCATGCTTCCCGTTGAGGGATGCATAATAATCGGGTCACCAGCCAAGCCAGCGATGTGTTCCAAACCTTCTTCGTTATAAAAGTGTGGTGGGACACCATGGAAGTCAATCCACACTGGAGCAGCAGTGAGTTCCAGGGTCTCAGGGTGAATGCCAGGTTCCCACT